TAAATGAGCTAGGAGTGGGGGGAGGCTCGAGAGCCCTTGTGAATAAACTGCTTAAAACTTACTGCTGGTGCTGTTTGTGGTCTTAATCATGAGGTGAGGTGTGAGATCACTGAACTGGCTGAAGGGATGTAAAGATGATGTAAAAAGCCCTGCAAGAATGGTGGATGGAGACTGGGGGTCCCAGAGCGATTCCAGCATGTCCCCCCACATAAACACGTGACTACAGCTAACCTACAAAGTTCTCTGGAGGTGGAATGCCCCCCTTCAAGCCTGTGCACTTTCAGCCATGGTAGGAATTTTGAGGCAAAATATCAGAGATTAGCTGTGGAAAAGCCTGGCCACCAATGCCAGATCTCAAGTCAGTGGTAAAACGTAATGGGAAAGGAAAGAGAAAAGAAGGGGATGGCTAAGCAGTAGAAAAGTTACGGCTTACTGTGAAGTTCTGCACCCTAATCTGTCAGAACCTGAATAAGGCAGTGTTGGCAAACTGCTGCTTTCCTAGCAACTATTTCAGGCAGGTAAAAATGAGACCAGTTCTGCAAAATTGCAGAAGGACTTGGTGTGACCAAAAGCAGGCAATAGAATAGCACATGAAAGACAGTTTGCATGATTAAAGAGTGTACGGGTAGATCATGTTTCACATGTAACGAGGCCTGATCACTACCACTCCCTGTGAAGTCCTAGCATTACAGCAAGCAGTACGAGAGCGTTCCGTGTCCAGACGCAGTCAAAGGTAACGCACACAGAACAAAACATGACCAGTGAAAGCCTGCACCTTGAATGCGGAGTGCAGCTGTGGTTTTCTTTTTACTGCAGCAGTTTCTGCAAAACTGGGAAAAGGTTCAGAGAAGAACACAGCTGGTCAAAGCCCTAAGCTGGCTTCCATGCAAGATGCGAAGAGAAGAGGCAGCAGTGTATCAGGAGGGATACAACTGAGGGCTGAAAATAAAACCACAGCAATCCAGTGCATAAAGATCAATGGTTCGTGCTCATTTCTGATATGAAGGAAGCATCAGCTGAAGCTAATAGATTGGAGAAACACAAAAAGAGGCATTTAGGTGGCATTAGGTTTCCTTTGCTGTTACAGAATGCTCTTGAAGATTTTTGTAATTGGGAGAAAGGAAGAAGAGACACAAAAAAACAAGACCAGAGGAAGGGCTCTGCACCACACTTATAAGGCGGTTTGGTGGCAATGCAAGAAGGGCCAGGTACTGTTCCAATGGTGAGGACATGGAAAGCCATCTAAGCTGTTCAGGCCCATTCTCCATCCTTCTCTTAGAACATTCCAACAAATACCAAATTATCCCACATGCTGCCTCGGCAAACGAGTTCTTTTATCCAGAGATTAATTCCTGCCTCAGAGGAAGACCTTGATTCAAAACAATGGGTACAGAGCCAGTTCAACACTGGAGTCTTAATTTGCAGGTGCCACGTGTTCTTTTGGCATCCTCTGCTGGCAGGAAAGGCCAGTGAGTTGAGGGCCAGAAAAACAGTCAACTTTAAAATGATCTGAAGATGGGAAGAGACAAGGGGGAAAAACTTTGAGCTGATAAAATCAGAATTCTTCAGTCCCTTTTGTCCCACAGTGGTCTTTTTTTGGATTGTATGTCAGTAACAAAACAAGTGCTATCTTTTGTGGTCTCCTCTCTGTGTGTTCTTGGTTGCACAGACATATTCTACTAACTCCAACAAGAGAAACTTTTCCAGCAGCACATCTCTGGTTGCCATCATTGTTTCTAGTTAGTTTTACTGCATCTTCAAATCTACATCCTAATTCCAAGCTCTCTGATTAATATCATAAAAAATTCCTGTCACTGCTTATACAGTTGTCCTCTTTTGAAAAGTTTCAAGTTGTTTTAAGGAAGTTGCTTTAAGGAAACCAGCAACAGCAGATTTTATATTTTCAAAGGTTAATATCTAGTCATATTCCATATATTGCATTCCTCAAAAATTGCTGAATACCTTCAGTGGAGTAAAGCATGATCTTCCAGATCCTTAAGACAAACTTCTAGCTGGGGCTTGCCAGCTCCAGTAAGTGTATGTCCACCAAACTCTTCAATGATACATTAGAAGAAGAGATATTAATATGCAAATATTTTAAGAATTCATTAGTATTAATACAAACATACAGACTAAAACAGAAAATGTCAGATCCCCAAACTGCTCAACCCCAAATATGCAAAAATGTAAGTAACTATCATCTCTGTATAGCTTCCAGCAGTGCTCCACACTCTTATCTCCTCATCAACAGAGTGGCTGATCTCCTCATCCACCAAAACACGGCAGACACGGCACAATGAAACAATGCAGGAAATGATGTGGTGAAGTATTAGCTATTTAATTAACACTGAAACTTCATGGGAAATTCAGAGTAGTCAACTGAACTTCCTGCATTCAGTGGGACGCTACAACTTACACAAAACTTCTGTTACCTGTTTGTTTGCTTTTTTTTTTCCCTAAAAAGAGGAAGAAAAGAAAACACACCAAGGTTTTTCTGATTAGAAGGTCTTGCTTACCTGAAACACAGTAAACCACAACAGGGGCACCATCAGTGACACGGAAATCTGCTGAACCTTGAAAGGAGAAGCCAACACTTCCAGAGGAGTCAGACAGGCTAATCAGAAACCTCAAGCCTTCTCCATAGTGTTTGATGAAGGCTAAGTCAGAGTTCATACATAAAGAAATCATCCTGTAAGGGAAGATGATTCCTTTTAATAATTCGCTACTTTCAATAATTTCATTCTTTTAAAATCTGCAGTGATTTGGCATCTATACTTGCTCTGCTACAGTGCCAGCACTCCTTGATGTACTTAGAAGACAAAAAACATAAGATCTCAGTATTTCAGTTCTAACATTCTCAAGATCTAGAAATCTGCTTTGGGTGTATCTGGATTTTTATTCAAAATATACTAAAATGTCACAGCATTACGTCACTGTCAGACATGAAGAATCATGCTTCAGATGACTTTATAACTCATCAGCTTTGCGCGTATCATAGATAGGTAATATTAACAGACAGAGGAAAATAACACATGAAAGAGACAAGCAAGCAGACTTGATTGTTACGTATCTTTCTTGTTCTAATGCTGGACTTCTTGACTCTGATCACTCAGATGTGGTCTACTGTGAAATGTGGCTGATGGGGAGGAAAAAAAATACCCGAGTTTGCTTTTACAGTAAGTCTGTGACATTTAAACTTACAACATTGATTTTATATTCAGTCTAAAGAAGAAATGAAGTTGTTCACAATGTTAAGCTTAGTACTGTTAACAGTTGTTCCTATTTTTTATGACATGATTTTCTAAGGATGAAGAGCAGAGGTAAGACTCAGTTTTTAGTATCACAAAACAAAGACCGCACAAAAGTGGAGAATTCGCCTCGAGAGGCAGAACAGCTCAGCTCTGCCAAGTGTTAGGAGGGCTCAGCACGTACTACTGCAAAACAGCTCACCTGGTAATTGCCAGGTATTAAACACGTGACAACTTAGCAGGTCTTACCAATCAGGGCTTGTCTCATTTTGTACTGAGTTACCTGCAGGTCACAGGACAGCAGTCCAGGTGGTTATTTCTGCAAATCCTTTCAGTGCAAGAAAAGAGCAGAAGTGGGAGGAAAAACGACGGGGAATATTAAACACACACCAAAATCACACCCCACATCACCTGCTCCAATGGAGAAAAACACCAGAACAATTAAAAAAGCTGCACATCTCTGCATAAGTTGCAACTAACACAGAAAGAAAAACATGCATTTCTACCATTGCACCAACAGATGTTTCCAGCACAGTCTGGGTCTGAATGATGGATCTGAACACCCGGAGCTGGAGACTAAGGCTCCATCTGCAGCCCATACCTCTGCACATATATGTTTGCTGCATCCCTGGCACTAGGATCAGGGATGTTAATCAGGAATAAAGCAAGGCCGTTACGACTGTGAAGCTTTCAGCATGGAGGAAGCTTCATTGCCAAGAACTGTGCAAAATCACTCACCCTGCTCTGGCAAGCCCCAGACCTTTCCTTCCCAGCAGCTTCCACACATGGAAGAATTAAGGTCCAAGTTGGATTCTTACTTTCAGCGTATTTGGCTGCAAACTGATCTGGACAACCATTTAATTTATTAGGATTGCAGAAATTAATTATTATTAAAGTCAATATCAAATTCACTTGAAAAAAATCTACAAGCTTTACTAGGAGTTACTTCTTTTTTTTTTTTTTTTTTTTTTTTTTTTAGGTCATTGGTGAAATCATTAAACAGCATTACAACACAACAAACTTGTTCCAGGTGATCATTCTCTTTACCTGATTAATTCACCTGCAATTACTGCTTTGAAGCTAGAAGGCACTCATAGGCCATCCTCAGTAAAGCAAAAGCTAACAAGGAGCCAGGATAGTCTGAATCAGTAGGATAGTAACAGAATCTGACCCAGATGTCTTTGCTGAGTGAGGTTCTTACTGAAGACATTGAAAAATATTTTACAAGATTAATTTCCTACTGCCATCACGGTATGTCACTCAGTTTTATTGGGATTATGCCACCATTCTTCATTGCTTTACTCACTATGTCCTAGATAAATATAACTGTGTTCGCTTCTAGAATGAACTTCAGGACAATGCACTTCTGCCTTCTCAATTCCTGCTGCAACATTTATTTTCAAAAAAAAAAAAAAAAGAGGAAAATAATTAGCAATACTCTCCCTAAATGGTCGGTAATAACATCAGTAGTTCAGATGAAGCTAATGCTGACAGCCCAGCACACATTTGTTACATGGGTATATTTAAGAGCATAACACTGCTGGCTGTCTTTGCATTCACTCCGCCCCATCACAGCAAGTTGCTCTTGCTAATACAGCTAGGTAATCCATTCTTAAGTTTCTACTAATTAACTTGTTAATAAAATAAATAATATTACAAAAGATAAAGTACTCAGTTCCAGCGTTAATATTCATTTCTCGCTAGGCCTTTCCAGAGAAACTCCAGGAATGTGTTTTAGTAGATAAGCACGACCCGTTTCCAAACATTTTATTTACCACTTTATTTATCCAAATTCCAAATCAGAATTTACCATTTACACCATTCTGCAATGGGAAGAGACATTGGCATCACACCAACTTTTGTTGCAAAGACAACTGAAAACACAAAGCTGGATTAAAAATCAATAATCATTTTAATTTAAGACGTTTTTCATTACAGAGCTGGGACAGAGCTTCGTATCTGTTCACTAGAGAGCAACCAAATTGAAATTATCTTTCTATGACTACGGCATGAGGAGCTTCTGTCAACAATGGGGAGCAAAAATGAAGGAGAAGGAAGCATTATGTACGGATGAGAGAAACATCATTGTTGTGTTTCAAGCAGAATATCGCTTTTGCCACCGCAGATGGACAGCAGCCCTTCCCAGCTGGCTGCAGCAATTTGTATAACCCACACTGCAGCTCATCCCTGGTGCTTGTTAACATCTCTGGTCTTCCTCTTCTGCAGGGCACTTCTTTGTGAACAGCAGTTCACATTCTTACGGTAATGACACGTCATGTAGCTTCAGCTCAGAAATACATTTTCTAAAAGCAAAGAAAAACAAAATATGCACTGAAGCTAACAGAGGTAACTGCACTGTTTCAGCAGAACATGGTACCAAATGCACAAAAGAATAAAAGAGAGAGGTTCCAAAAGCATTAATTAATCATCAAGAAATAGAAAGATGCATGTGTATCTGCTTATCACAGGAAGCGGCTGGTAAATTCTGATTCACTGGAATAAAAAAAGACATTCAGAGCAGGTGAAACATGTCACCAGAATGGCTGCTAATAAAATAATAGGACAGGCTTGCTAAAGAGAAAAAATAACAAACACATACACAGAATCATAGAATCTGCGAGGCTGAAAAACTCCAAGATCAACAAGTCCAGACACTGACCTGACTGAGCCCCATCACTTAGCAATGCCCCTCAACGCTTCGCTGCCACTTTCTCACAGTGTTCCCTGTTGCACCTTAGTGGCATTTCCAAAATCTATTGTAAAGATCAGACAGGAATACTATTTTCTTTTAAAGCAGAAAATCACAGAATCATTGAGATTGGAAAAAGATCTTCCAGCCCAACCATCAACCTTGTTTCAACATCTCTAACGCATCAGCTCTTACACTGAGGGGAGAAATACAGCCAGCACAAATACAGTGTGAACACATAACGAGGTCACAGCAAAAATCAGTGATACGATTTCACACTTGCACAGAGAAATTGTGGTTTGGTACTCACAAGGATCAGTCTGCAGTGTTTTGTAGGACACCGCTGCACTGTTTTGCATTCCATGTAACTCACAGGCTCATTCATTCTGTCTTTTACAACTGAGACGTAACAAAAGATGCCACACATCTCCATTCTGAGACCTGCATTGTTCTGGGGTTGCTTATTCCAGTATCAGTGGTGGCACTGCTTCTTTTAGCGTGTTTAGAAACATTTCTTTCAGAGCAGTGTTCTACTACTGGACAGACACCTTAACCACTCTTTCATTCTCTCTGTCTCCTCCAAAGCCAAACGAATCAGGGTGTGTGACTACAGCAAGAAACAGCCAGATTTATCAACAGCAGTTTGTAACCTGCTCATTTGGGCAGCTGCTCTTGGGAAAGCAGGAAATTTTATTTCCAGTCACAGTGGCAGGATACTTGCACATACGAGGGCACTAAGCATCTGAATTACTGATGTTTCAGTGAGGAAGTATACCTTCCCTTCTAGAAATGGGGAACTTCCATGAGAAAAGCTGACCAGATCCAGGTCAGACCATCCTTCGTCAGCATCTGTGCACTGTGGCACTGAGTATGATGCATATTCAACACATCAGCCCCCTCAAACACTCAGTTTGGTAGGAGGGAGTTGAGGAGGAAACATCCCTCCCACTGTAAGCAAAGATCAGGCTTGTGATCACCTGAGGAACCTGAACAGCCAAAAGTCTATGGGTCTTGATGAGATGCATTCTGAGTCCTGAGGTAATTGATCTAGTTGCCAAGCCACTCTCTATATTTGGACAGTAATGACAATCAGGTGAAGTCCCTGCTGAATGGAAAACAGGTAACATCACACCCATTTTTAGAAGAACATGATTCTAGGAACTACTGACCTGCAACTCTGTGCTGCAAAGATCACAGAGCAGATCCTCCTGGAAGCTCTGGAACTCATGGAAGGCAGGGAGCCAATGCAGGAGAACCAGCATGGCTTCATGAAGTCCATGCTTAACCAATCTAGTGACCTTTTGTGATGGTGTCACTGCACCAATAGACAAGGGAAGAGCGACTGATGTCATCCATCTGGATTTCAGTAAGGCCTTTGACCCGGTATCCCACAACATCCTTCTCTTGAAACTGGAAAGATGGATTTGATGGGCAGGCTGTTCGATGGACAAAGAAATGGCTGCAGGATTGAGTCCAGAGCACGACTGTCAAAGGCTCAATGTCTGGATGGAGAATGGTGATGAGTGAGATCCCCCCAACACTCTTTTGCTTCTTAATCAGTGATTTCAACAGTGTGTTCGAGTGCGCCCTCAGCAAGTTTGCTGATGACACCAAGCTGTGTGGGGTGCGGCTGACACAGCAGCGGGATGGGGTGCCATCCAGAGGGACACTGAAAGGCTGACCAGTAGGTCCAGGTGAACTTCACGAGGTTTAACAAATCCAAGTGCAATGTCTGCACCTGGGTTGAGGCAATCCTCATTACCAACACAAACTAGGGGATGAAACCTGGACGTAACCCTGCCAAAAAAGACCTGAGAATACTGCTGGATGGCATGCTGGACAGGAGCCAACAATGTGCCTTCATAGCTCAGAAAACCAACAGTGTCCTGAGCTGCACCAAAAGAAGGATGGCCAGCAGGGTGAGGGAGGGGATCCTACCTCTGCTATGTGCTGTGAGACCTCATCTGGAGCACTGCATCCAGATGGGGAGTGCTCAGTGCAGGAGAGACATGGAGCTGTTGGAGCATGTCCAGAGGAGGGCCATAAAAATAATCCAGGGGATGGAACACCTCTCATATGAGCACAGGCTGAGAGCTGGGGCTGTGCAGCCTGGAGAAGGCTGCGAGGTGACCTGATTGCAGCCTTCTAAAGGGGAGCTGCAGGAAAGAAGGGGACAGAATTCAGCAGGGTCTGCAGTGATAGAACAAGGGGAAATGGCTTCCACCTTGAAGAGATTAGGTTGGATATAAGGGCAAATATTTTTACAGTGAGGGTAGTGAGGCACTGGCACAGGTTGCCCAGTGATGTGGCTGATGCCCCATTCCTGGAGACCTTCAAGGCCAGGCTGGATCAGGCTCTGGGCAACCTGATGGAGCTGTGGTGTCCTTGTGCATTGCAGGGCAATTGGACTAGATGGCCCTCGGAGGTCCCATGCAACTCAAAGATTCTACGATTCACACACACATGCAGCCTTCTCCCAGCCCTCTAAGCAATGCATTTTGCTCCTGTGTTTATGATGGGCAAATTCTAAGAGCCAGGGGAAAAATAACAGAAACGCACCTTTTTCCAGTGGAAAGATTTCCCCACAGGAAGTGCTGAACACAGCAGCACCCCCTCTCCCAGCAACCACGCTCCTCGGTTACAACAACACAGCTCAGAGGATAAAACAAAATCCTCTCACAGCTGCCCGAGCCCGCGGTTTGCACTCAGCACCGCCTCCAGCCGCTCGACCAGCCCCGGCGCAGCGGGAGAACGGAGGCTCGGACAGCGCCATGCCGCTTCCAAGATGGCGGCCCATCATCCACCCTCAACTCGAGCGCGGGAAGGACGGCGCCGCCTCAGCGCTGCGGTAGGTGGGGGGAGGGGCGGGAGAAGGGAACGCAGCATGGCGGCGGGCACGAGCACGGTCCCTTCTCTCTGTGCCTGACGAGACGGCTGCCCCGAGGGGCGCGGGGCGGGGCTGAATGCGTCCGGCTTAACCGATAGCCCCATGGCTGCGAGAAGCAGCCGACCTGTTCGCTCGTCCTCTCACAGCTCCGGCGGGACGTTAGGTGGAGCCCTGCGCTCGCACAGCCAGTAGCGATTGGGCCACGGGGAGCGGCTTTAAACTAAAAAGGGGGAAATTTAGGTCAGGTATTGGGAAGAAATTCTTTACCCAGAGGGCGGTGAGGCCCTGGCAAAGGTTGCACGGAGAGGTTGGTGTTGCCCCATCCCTGCAGACAGCCGAGGTCGGGCTGGATGGGCTCTGAGCACTGCTGGAGCTGCGGGTGTCCCTGTGCACTGCAGGGAGTGCGACCTGATGGCCTTTAGGGGTCCCTTCCCACCCAACTGTGGTTCAGTGATGAGTTGTTTGTATTCCTCAGAGTGGTGCTGTAGCAAGGGAGAACTTCTCAAGGCTGAACAAAGCCAGCTCACCCAGCCTTTCCTCACAGAGTAGATGTTCCAGGCCTTTCATCACCTTTGTGGCCCTAACTTTGTGTGAGCTCCCTTAACCCACCTGCAGAACTGGGGAATGCTGGTGTGGAATGCCTTAGGCAGGCAGATTGTGCTCTTCGTGCACTCCTCTGCTATCTGAAGACCTGATTGCTGGTTACGAAACAGGCTTTTCTTCTGCTTGCATACACATATGGGAATTAGATGTTGTTTCTGCATTGGATATTGAGGTGGACTATTGATCTAAAGAAGTAGAACATAATATGTTTGTATTCTGTAACTTGTCCTTAGGAGTAGCTGATGTGAAAGGAAGAAATACCATATACATGTTAGTAACGTATTTTAGAAACATAATTACTGAGCTATGTGACAAATTCTTTCTCACAAAGTTGTGATAGATTTTTAAATGTTTAAAACAACGTAGGTATAATATTCTGACCTAGAAAACGTATTGTAAGATTGTTCCTTAGGCCAGAGAAAGTGAAATACATTTAACAAGCTTTCAAGGAGCCAGGGCCTTTACACAAAGCAGAACTGTTCCACTCTGTGGGAATGTTAGGATGCTATAGGCAGGCCCCAAGATACTCCACTCTATCCTCCTTCCAAGCTTATCTCTATGCAAGGACAGACATGACCAGAACAATGACCCAGGGTAAAGGCCACAAATGCTAGGGAGGGGTAATTAAACAATTAAGAGATTAGGTTTATGTTTATGTTGTAAAGTGGGCATCTCCAAAAGTTATGACCAGATGTTTGTTAAGAAAGCAATGGTTAGAAGGCAATTAACCAATGAAGATATTTGTGTTTGGGCGGCAAGGAATTGTGTTTACTTCGTATTTGTATGACTAGTGAAGCGTCGCAGAAGAGTGTGAACCTGCAGTACTCAGCCAGGGAGGAGCCAGGGGAGAAAGAGATAAGCATTGGGCAATGGGGGATAAAAGATGGAACACTGTTTTCTATGCGTGCTCCTGCTTGCAGGAGGCCTGCCATTGCAATTGCAAATAAAATTTGATTTATCAGAGATTTTGTCCTGGAAAATTATTTGGTTATTTCCTACACACACATACATGTGATTTTAGAACTGTTTTGCATGGATCATGCACACCCACAATCCTATCAGTGTAATTCAATGTAATTTACTTCTTTTTTTTTTTCTTTTTTCTTTTTTTTCCACATTTGAATTTATGCCAGTCTGTGCAGGAAAACAAATCTTTTGTAAATGTTGGATAGTTTCCAGATTAACAGATTCCCTGGTAAAAAAGAAAAAAAAAAAAAATGAAAGAAAATAAAAACAGAAACCTCTGGTGCTTGCTGTGAGCTTCTTGTGCTCTACGAGACCTCCACTCCATTTAGAAAATACAGCTCTTAAGCAGTGCATCTTTCACCCTTCGTGCTTCCTGCAAGATTATTTTCACAGGTGCTCATTGGCTCCTCTTTCTGATTTTGTTTATCTGTCTGTCTCCCTATCTAAACTGGGAGCACAACCTTCTTTCATACCTTTGGAGCAATGACTCTCGTCTTTCTTTCCTCCACAGTGTCATCCTCAGCTGTGGTCAATGTTGTACTAATTCTTTCCGGGTTATAACATCACTAAAATTAATCAATTGGGTCTTATAAATTGCACATGAAGAATAAAAAGTCAAGTCTCTAGACATAGCACAGCACAAGGGCTGTGTGCCATTCACATGAGTGAATCGACAGTTTTTTGTTGCCTTCTGGCTCTTTGGTCCAGGTTCTGCTTTCTGTTCCATTCAGATAGATGTGGCCTGTTCTGTAGTGCACAGAACAGTTGGGGTTTCCGTGAGTGTAACAGAGCCAAGTGGTCTCATGATGTACACAAATCAATTTTGACAACGTTTGGTGGTACGGAGGATGGGGTTATCAAAGGCTGTTCAGAGACTGGTGTGTTTGCAGGACTTGCTCTGGCCATGCATGAGGCAGCTCAGAAGTTAGGCAGCCTATTTGCTCTGGTTCTGGGTTAATGGTGTGTCTCTTTTCTCAGGGAGGATGTTAGCTCAGTGGTGGCAATTCATTACCGTCACTGCATAGCTTCCACTCCTTTGTTGGCATGGATCTTAAGAGTTCCAGGCGTGTCTGAGGAGCTCACATCTGCCTTCACCTGCATATATATAGGATTTTCCCTGGAAAGGTTCTAATCCATTACCAACTCTTGGGGTTTTCTAGGCTATCGCTGCTGTTAAAAGTAAAGGCTTGATTAATTTGTTGCCGTCTCTTTTTGTACTTTGTTCCTTCTGATCTCTGCAGTCTATGTTTCTGAAGACTCGACTGTCCCACAAAACTTAATCTCACACTGAAATCCAGGCAATCAAAGGGCATAATGGTATATATAAGCTGCAACTGACTTTTGTTTTCCTCATAGGCTCTTCCTTAACAGAAGGCAGCTTTTCTTTTAAAACTCTTCATCAGAAAGCTGAAGAGTTTCATTTGCTATTTTATAAAATTACGCATTGGCTGTAGTGAGGTAATCCTTCAGATTTTGCCTGCTCTTCAGAAAGGCTGGAATCCATCTCACTAAACATCAGACATCTAGCAGACATCTACACTGAAACCTTGCTTAGCAGTGCAGAGACAGGCACTTCAGGAGGGCATTTCGCCCTGCTATTTGCCTGTGATTGGTTGTGACTGAATGACAGTAGAATATGCCACATGGTATCATCTCTTCTCCTTCACTAGATGGTTTGCAAGAATATCTGGCTCTGATACTAATGTGGAAAAGCAGCTCAAAAGATTTTCAAGACCGCTGTCTCTGCGTTGTATTTATTCTTTTCACCTCAAATTGGTGAGCTTTCTGCAGTGCTTGGTTTGAAATTGTTTGGGCCCAAGTGGCTGTTCTTGAAAACACCAGCGATAAAGAGGAAAATCTTGAAAAGACTGATATTTGTAAATTTGAAATGAGTTGGGATTGTGCTGGTAAAACACACTGTCTTGTCCACACATGCCCAGTGAACTGGGTCAACTTGTTTAGAATTGAGGGTTGGTCTCTTAAATGAGGCACCCAACGTGGTTTGGGAAATGAGTGAAAGGCTTTGTAAGATTACATCATCTCTGCCACCATGTCCGTGCTTGTGAAAGAAATTAATGATTATACCCTTTTGCTATCACTTCTTACAATTATGCAATTACAGTTAATACTTCTTACAATTTAATATCATATTTATAGTGATGATACTGTATCATAGAACGGTTTGAGTTGGAAGGGATCCTTAAAGGCCATCAGGTCCCATTCCCTGCAGTGCACAGGGGCACCCAGAGCTCCAGCAGTGCTCAGAGCCCATCCAGACTGACCTTGGGATCACCAGCGATGGGGCATCCACCTCTCTGGACAGTACTAAGCTGTATTATTAAATATAGTGATACGCATGTAGACGTTTTATCATTGATACGTTTTATCAAATAATCAAGAAAATTTATTTGTGTTCGTTCTACTCTGTATATCAATGAAAAGGGAAGGGTGGGTGCAATGAATGAAATGTTTATCTGCTTCAGGAAGAATGCAGGCAGATTTTCTACAGCGAAGTAACTGAGAGCAAACAGTGCTTTGGTAACTTTTCTGCACTGAGAAGGTCGCATCTGTTTCTCTGGGAGCAGAGTTATGTTTTGTAATTGATTGAAAAGAATGGCATAGGCCAAGGGATGACGCAGAAGGTTTGCCCTGAGCAGAGCCAGCGTGGAAGTAAACACAGTTTGAAGAGGCTTACCAGGAAAGCAATTCTGGTGAACCCTTTGCTTAAAAGGCTTGAAGTCTCTGAAGTATCTCTCCATCTTTATTACTCAGGAAGAGAGCAGGATGAAGAGTGAATGCTCTAATTGAGCCAGATGTTACATCCAGCTTCCTGCTTTGCTGAAGGCATAATTTTCAAACAGAAATGATTCAAGCTACTTGAGGAGGCAAAAAGCGTCACATCCACAAAAACAACACTGTTAAGATTTTCTGTATGTGTAAGTGACAGTAGGATGGTTATGAGAGTTCTGGGTAGTCATTCACTCTTCCAGGAACTCCCAACATTTCTGACCTCACCAGGAGCAGTCGTAAGCAGCTTATGCAGTAATGACAAATGTGAGAAATGTTAAAAGGAATCACTATAGTCACAGGAAAAAAAAAGGTCTGTTGTGGAGCTGAAGTTGGCTTGTGGTCAGTATTTTTCATTTTAGGAGCAGAATGATAGATTTTATAACACCTCCTTTCCACTGAGAACTGAAAAGTAAAATGTGAACTCTTTCTAGTGTCTCTGATGTAACTGTGAGACACCAAATTGCTGCAGATCAGACAAATTTGTTAGTGTTGCATAAGGCAAAAAAGTAGAATCCCAGCCATTCTGTCATGTTTTTATTTGGTTGTAATGCTGACAGGTCCATGGACTTGTTTTCTTCGTTAGTGGGAACAGTTAGGCACTTTTTATTTATGCATTTATTTTTAATACTTGTCCTATATCTTTTTGCAACTGAACAATCCTTTCAAGCGGGGAAATTGCATTAAGATGAGAAAAAAGGAAAAGGAAGGATTTCTCTTGGTGGCACTGCCATATGTCTTTCCAGGTGGAAGTACAACAGGGCACAGCAAGGCAGGGATTGTCAAGGGGACCCTGTTATGCATGGCTCCTGGAAGGCATATGGTACAGCAGTGTTCCAGCTCTGACTGTGAATTTTTCTTCTTGTGTTCTCTGGTAAATAGAATAATTCCAATGTATGCTCCAATTTTCTGTTTGTGCTTAGGGACAAGGTGCTTCATCACCTGAGCTGCCTTCTGAATCAGGACCTACCCCAGAGAGAACCTTGGAAGAAACACACTGCAGGTATGAAATACTTCTTAAATAACTGTCTGAACCACCTTTATCGTGTAGAAGAGGTTGCAAAGGCTTGGGCTACTGGACGCTTTAGGATACTGCATTTCCAGAAGAAGGAATCTCTCTCCATCTCAAAGTGGTAGCTGCTCCGAAGAAAAGTCATGCTGGTTCTCCGCCAGCTCTTGTGCCCTCGCAGTAATGCTAAGCTGCAGTTGGTTTGGTAACAGGGCTTCTTTCTGATCTCTGGAGGGAACTGCATGGAGAATACCACATTCAGAATATATTATTTAGCTTTCTCAGTGTGTTCTTCAGGGCATTGTGCTGTAGGAGTGTTAACAGAACCCAAGTTCCCAAGTTCTACCTGCTCTGTTGTGTTTGGTCATGCATGTTTGGGACAATACAGAGAGCTTCACATTTCCCAGGCCCTCATTTCATAGAATTATAGAGTTTGTGGCTTCAGAGGAAAAAGGCATAAATCTGTGGCGCTTGGTAGTTTTGAATCAAGAAGATCATGCAGGGAAATTTGTCTGTAATCATGAGCTGCTCAATGACTGCTTCTGTTCTGAAGCTGGAGGGGGCCTTATGTCTGCTAAAACATATCATTATTGCCTCTAGAGCTATTATCTCTAACATAACCGTGGGTATAGTATCGCTGAATCACAGAATGGCTGAGGTTGGAAAAGACCTTAGAGATCATCAAGTCCAACCGCAACTTAACCATACTACCCTAACAACCCTCTGCTAGATCATGTCCCTGAGCACCGTTTGCATTGTCCAGTCCTTTTTGAAAGTCCTCTTAGACTTACACCACTGCAGGTGTTTGTATGTTGCAGCCTTCCTGCTCGGTGGCGTCTGAATGGTTAGCAATCTCAAGCTGTGCTTTCCTGCCACTGTGGCAGAAGGGACAAATGCATGGGTGCAGAGCTGAGATACAGACTTGTCCACAATGTTCCTGAGCTGCATCTCTTTCTTTTCTTTTTTTTTTTCCTTCACCTCATTTATTGCATGTTTTCCCTTTTTTACCTTACTTATTTTCTGTTTTTATGGAAGCTGTAAGTGCAAAGAAAGTCACACGCAGTACAAGCAAAATAAATACTGCAGATATTGCAGTAGAATCTGGGTTGTGCATCCAGGCAGTACCTTGTGAGCATCATCCTGATGTGAGCTGGCATGCAGCGCATTTGGCAGATTACCTACCCTGCTGATACCTGCACGTACTGGTTGAGTGAGCAGGGCATCATCATCATTGTTGTGATCTTACGATGCATAAAATACTCCTTACTTCATAGATGTTAAGCAGAGCAAAGTTGACCACGTTTATAGGAATGTCATTTGTGACATTAATTAATTGTAAAATGGCAGCTTCACCTTGTTCTCCTTGCAAGAGCACACTCTATTAACATGAACTGAGTGTGTAATTCTGTTGAATTTTGCCTTTTTATTTTTTATCTGTGGTCAGAGTACTGCTTCACAACCAGAACAAAAGAAAGCGTCATCATCACGGTTTTCTAGCAGCAACGCTATGATAGTGACAACAGGACAACAGTGTCCCTTGGGAGTAGTGGAATCTCATATTGTCCACACACATGCACCACATCTCCTTATAGCCCATAAAGCACTTCTACACTATTCTCAACATTGATGTCTTTTAAATTTCTTTACTTCTCTGTGAGCCAGCTCTCTGTGAATATTCTTGAGATATTGAGTGTGAACTTCTTGTTTCTTCTTGATCCTCTACCTGATGAAAAAAACGTTCTCTGAGAGGGAACACAGAATTCTGGAAAAATCAGAAATGTCACCTTAAGGATTATATGATCCTTTCTACCCATTTCCTGCTGCCCCTCTGTTACCTGGTGACGGTGGAAATGGAAGGATAAAGTCATATTTCTTAAAGTGTAGACACAATAAGGAGGGAAAGGAAATGTAGGTAGCAAACCTTTATGGTTCTGCCCCCCCCCAAAAAAAATAAAACCAACAAAAAAAACAATTCTTCCATGATATGTATTTTGAGAAACATTCCCATAAGCTGTAGAATTCTCAGGTGAGTTTATTGTGGGGCCCGGGACACTGGGAGCTCCTTACATCCACTCACTGCTCTTCATCAAATGCATGCTTGGGGCAGCAAAGAAATGTTTTTATCCCTCCAATTTCCTTTTCTCTGTGGGATTCCGATAAACATATCTGGTGTGAAAAATTCAATCTACTGGTAGAAATGTTGGAGTATGGTAGAGGTAATTAATCCTTCTGAGAGCCCTTATTTGGTGGCAGTGTGAGTGGGGAATGTACTTGTGATGTGGGAATGTCAGATAAACTGACAGATAAGCTCTGACAGAATTATAGGGGCTGCAAATCATAATAGGGATGGAGAAGTCCTGCAGTGGATCTTCTTACCTGTTGTCTTATCTTCAAGGCTTGTGCATTTATCCAGCTTTAGATCTTCAGAGATGATTGGAGGTGTGAGATGTGATGCAGCGTTGATGAGGCAGGGACAGTGCTTCAGATGTCACCAACAGTCAGTTGTTTTTCAGCCTTACTGCAGATCTACCTGGAGGCTTTTAGCAGGAGCAGCAAGCTGTGCTGTGCTGTGCTGTGTTAGACAAACAGGAGCAGGCAGTGCTGCCCTCAATTAACTATTAATTCAACAGTCCGAATTCTGCAAATTTCACCTGCTTTGTTATGCCTGTACTCATGTGAATGGCTCCAGATAGTCAGTGCTTGAGTCAAGTTACTGGTGAGAAAGCTTGCAGGATCAATTGTTAGATTAAGTGTTGAACTCAAAATTATGCAGGAAGGAGCTGTTCTTCTTTTTTCTTTTTTTTTTTTTTTTCCCCCTTCTTTTCCTTTCCTTTTTTTCCTTTTTTCCTACCTATAAAAATTGCATTTTTTGAGAACTTTAGAGTTAGAATTTTGTTCACATTTCATGACAAATATTCCTTTTCAAAGATAGATTAAATGCTTATTACTTTTAGCTTAATATTAAAATTTCTCCTTGGAAATTGACTCCGGGGGATTTCCAATCCATTAAAGCAACCAGAGGAGCTGTTTCCAATGAAGACAAAGATTTAGTGCAAGGAAGAGGCTTCCCTCAATACAAAAAGCTGATTTTTTGTCACATCAGACATAAAAGCTGCAAAAGAAATTGGATATAGAGCGCAGAGTGAATAAAAAAACCCCAAATGCTCGAGATGAAGCAGGGGGTGGGTTCCCTGGGCTGGGCTGGGCTGAAACTTGACATCAGGAGGCTGAAACCTAGCATTGGTGGAAGCTACTGTGATGCAGAGGTGAGGGCTGGATCTAGGATGGTGCTCAGAGGAGGTGGGAGAGGGGAACAGCAGCGGCTCAAAGCTGAGAAGGAGTCCACGATTAACAGGAGAGAAACAGAGAGAAAAGGAACGCTGGCATAATAGGAGGGCAGCCACAACACGTGCAGCAGGTAAATAAATAGTCGCAGTATAAATAAGGGAAAGTCAGATTGGAAAGCGTTTGGCTGCTGCTGTCCTGGATTTATTGCTGCTTGTGTTTGCTGTTTGGCGACAGCACAGTTCTGATTTGTCTGTGCAAAACTTCAGAGCAAATTTGTCTATGTGGTGAACTATGCTAGGGGCTTTGTTTAAAAAAAAGAAAGTCAACTTCAAACAAAAAAAATAGTTTTCAAATGGTGGGTTGTTTTTTTTGTTTTGTTTTTTTGTTTTTTGTTTTTTTTTTTAAGTAAAATACGTTTCTATGCTAGAAAAGAATTTAGAGGTGAGGGCCTCTGGGAGATGTGTGCATGCTATGGAGGAGCAAAAATGACTGGCAGTTGGATACTGAGCTTCATGTAAATTCAGTTTTGTCCTTTAGATGTGCTCTGAGCTGTTAACATCTGCACTGAACACAGTAGCCAAAAGTTTTTGAGTATCTCACTAATAATAGGAGAATGGTGTGAAATTATAGAAGTAGAAAATGAAGAGAGTTCATAATGGGAACTGGCTGTGCGCAGAAGTTGCACAGATAGCAGTCAAATTAAGTCCTATTAAATCCGACTCAGGTGTGATTTGTCTCAACTCGACTCCTGGAGGGCTGCAGGGTGTTTTTGTGCTTGATAGCGCTGGAGCACTTTGCAGATGATGCCAAGTTAATCCAATCAGTTGTTCTCTGAGCATGAGTGTCACAGATGAGCAATTGGGGCAGTGCTGGGGCTGCAGGTCATACAGGATCCAATTCCAATAAATTGTGTAAATGCTCCAGTGTGTGGGAGGGAATAGGAGAAGAGATGAAGCTATATTTTAGCGTGACCTTATAAATGTAATCCCTACTCTGCCCTTGCAGAATGAAATTTGAGGTCCTATTTCCTGTTTCTATGCAAATCTGTTGTGTAGGTTCTAGTATCAGCTAGCTGAGAGATTACAGTAATGAATCTTTCTGCCACATCCAGGAGGCTGCTGGCTCTCTGACATTGCTTGCTGTTATCGCAAGCACAGTTTTTAATACTGATGGAAAGCCACAGGGAAGAGAAGAAAGTAGATGCTATGCTTTAAAGAAATAATGGGCCTGGACTTCTCAGCTAAACCTCAACAAATGAAATGTTTGTCTTTGCACTTGTTTCATGAGCAAAAAAAGAATAGTGAGGTGTTCCTGTGGGAGCACAGAAGCCACACACGCAGCTCCAGGAGTTACAGTTAATTGTTCTACAGAGGGATAATGCAGCATCAGTGTCCCACTGCAGCTTCATTTAAAGCAGTAAATGACTGCAGCTTTTGAAAGACCTGAGGTGTTTAAAGGCTATGGGTGTTTTTGACCATCATTGTTGTCTTCCTCCAGACTTAAACTGTTACAAGGTGTGCAAAGAGAACATCTGCTTTTGCAGCGTGATTTTATTCTTGGCTCTTATTTTTGCCTACTTACTGTAATGTTAACTTGTTCTTAGAAGCCTGCTTCATACCTCAGGCACAAGATTATGCTTCCAAGATACTAAAAAACAACAGTGTTTCCTATCAGTGGAAGTGAGAAAACTGGAGGAATCAGAATTT